GTGTGTGTGTGTATGTGTGTGTGGGGGGGAAGGTGTGTAAGTGTTAGTCGTGTGGGGATGCCCCCTCACGGGGGCGTACGTGTCTTTTGGTGTATTTGTCTGTCTGGTATATTGTTTGTCGGGGGTCGCAATTTTAAAGAAATGTATTCTAAAGTAATGCAAATAACTGATAAATAAGTAAAAACTTACCTGGGCATAACCCCGGCACAGGTGCTGTAACAAAGATGCCGACGGCGTCTATGCTTAAGCCGGGGATTAGGTCGGTGATTAAAAGGAAAGAAAGGGATTCTTTCCAGGTAGCCTTAATAAAGGCAGGTAGAATTTGCTCCTTGCACTACACTTTCACAAAACACGTGTGCTCTGGTCGGCTGCCCGCTAGGAACTGTATAATAACTGAATTTTTTGTACTATTTGGGTCATTTTTGTATGTTTTACATACAAAAAACCCTGACCTGGCCTGGCTGGGTTTAGACACTATTCAAACTATCGAAGTCGGAGCTCATTTCGTTTTGGCAGTTAAAGGAGCCCACATCGATAAAATGATGAATAAAATGAATAGGTAAAATTCGATACATACACCCTGTATGTATATACTTTTTATATTTACGGTAAGCTTTAATTAAACGTGTTTAAAATGATTAGTACTTGACAGCATAGAACAGCGCTAGTTCAAGAGTGCGCATAGTTCGTATGTCCGAAACCGAAAATTAGTTGGGAGTGGGCGGATTATTTTGATGGTTGGAAACCAGTCCCCAACTCATAAGTTTTGATCTGCGAACATCAAATTTTTAGTCAGGGTCACGGATTATCGCTGTGCGAACGCGTTTGACCTATCACGCATGTGTCATACAGTTGCTGATATTTCTGACTGCTGTACGAACGAAGCTAATAGTTTTTGAAAATCTATAAATTTTTACAAAAGCAATGTCACCTAAAATATCTAAAGGATTATTATTTCTTGTAAATTTTTGTCTTTCCGCGCAAATGTAATTATCTCAGTTAATGATTTTTACGAATTTCTCTTATTTGTTGTCTAATATCAATTTTTTCATTTAAATAAGGTTAATTTTATATTTATTAAATAACTTGGTAAACCTTAATATAGCCATAAAGTGCTACTAAAATATTTACAACTAACTAGATAATATTAACAACTGCTAATATTTTAGATTAAAAAAAATCTCATTACCAACAAAGCAATGAATTACATTTTCTTTGAACCATCACTAAGCACAGCAAGCACGTAATCCCTACCAAAATTAATCATACTTAATTTTTATTTCTTACATTACTGAGAACAAACGGGAAAAGTAACACTCGCATTATTTCCCCTTCCGCTGAACTAACTTTTCTTTTCAGGAGTGTTTTATGCTACGCACTTTCCTGCAGTTGAGAAAAATGTCCTCCACCTTGATCCCCCAAGTGAAAGACGTTGATATCGATCCTTCGGGAGTCTTCAAATATATCCTAATTAAAGTGACCAGCCCTAACAGCGACGGCCAGCTGGAGGACAAGCTGATTGTTCGAGGATATGCCGAATGCCCCTATCACTGTGAGTCCTCTTTTATACATTGCCAGATTGTTGAATTTCTCCAAAAAGCCTCGTGAAAAGCGTTTCAGTACTTTTAATCGGCAGAAGTGATTCTCTACTAGATTACATTTTTTTTATACAGGATGGGACATAAAGTTGTGAAACAGGTCAAAGCACATCGAAACGGGTTCAAGCCGAAGAAAGCATTAAAGTGGAACAAAATAGCTTTAGAGCACACAAAAATACGTGGAACTTGCTTTAGGATATGTAAATATTATTTCAAAGTGAAAGATTAATGTCATAGGGCCGGGATTTACTGATCGGAGGTATTTCCAGGCGAATTTTGAAGCATTTCCAGGAAGTATTTCGTTATACGTATTTAAGTTTTTGATATATTTCTATGCATATTGAAAATTTTGAAGTGTTCAATTTATTTCGAGGCATCTAGTGTTTTTTATGTATTTTTAATGCCATTTTTCATATCATAAAGGTGTTTTGTTAATGTCTTTTATAATGGATTTGAAGTTTTTCAGAAATTTTCTGAAGCAACTATAACATTTTGTTGTATTCTGAAGTTTTTTAATTTGTTTTATTGCTCTTTGAAGGTTTTTGTTCCTGTAAGTATTGCTGCTTTGATGTATTTTTTAAAAATAATTTTCAAGCATTTTGAAGCTGTTCTAATGCATCCTGACATTATTATAACTAACCTAATCTGCCAATAGAGGGTTTTTAGCTTATACAAGGTGTACACCAATCTCAAAAATCTGAAATTATCACGGAATTTTACTCTGACAATATCGAGTTTGACAAAAGTCGCTTAGCTAAAACAAAGTTGTTGCAAATTAATTACAATTTTTTTTTTGAGGTTATGTAACGTTAATATTGAGTTATCGATTATTTTTATTAGTAAAATCATCTGTTTTCTACTGTTTTCGTAGACCCTTTACTAAATATTTTACCTTTGAAGTTCTCTAAAGTTTCTCTTTGAACGACATACCAAATTCGCGCATAAATAGTGGGTATACTGGAGGAGCGGATCGTTTTCGAGCTTTCGCCTTTGGAACTGCTAGAACTTTCTAGGCGAGGCCCTCGGGACATTATAACTTATAATTAACCTTCCGCTTTATAACATGTCGTGTGGATATTAGAAATTTAATTAATTTAATTAAGATATCAAGTAAATTGTAATAAAAGGGGCAGGTACTGTAACATACAGCGACGTTGCAGCAGGCTTTCGGGGCCGATTAATCTAGTCATATTTAAGGCGAATTAATGCATACAGTGCCAGAGTATAATAACGAATAAAATTATTTAAACTTTAAGTTTTTAAAAACGTTAATACTTCAACCAGTGGCGGAGTGAATAGGATTAAATAAATTGAAATGGAAACAAGTAGGTGTCTTTAGTTTGTTTTTTTGGAAGATCATCTATACAGGTATAGTCATTTCGATCTCAATTGAAGATCAAAGAGCTAGGTAGTATATACCAGGTTCGGTCGCTACACAGCAACTGAAATTGAAATATTTGAAAAACTTGTTCCTATATTTATTTAGTCATACCCATATACGGGTCTGGTCGAACTAAACGTGGAGGTGGTAAAAATGTATACGACCATTTGAAGAAAGCGCACGCGGGCAAACGCCGCACATAACGCCACCGAACATAAATTTCAGTCGTTGACAAATTGCCTAGCAGTGCAGTGCAGTAATGCGGGATTATTTTATTGTTGATTATTTTTATTTAATAACTTATCTAATGTAAACTAACAACCTTTCTTCATCCTTTCCTGGCAATGATATATATCATACCTTCCCGTTGGTTCTTGACGAGCAGTAATGTATTTTAATGAAAATGTAAATGTTTTTTGATATATCATAACCTACGGTTTTCAAATCAAATGTAAGGGCATTATGAATAACGTGTTGAGTTAGACAATAAGGATAAGATAGTGTGGTAGAAGACGCAAGCAAGAAGTTGTTTAGGATAGAAGCCATTTGGCCTATTACGAAGAAGTTGGTGGACGCTATTTTAAGCATTTAATAAAACCATTTTTATGTTACATTTATCAGTTTTGTTCATCTGGATAAATTATAAGAATTCTCTGAAATCGCAGTTTTTATTGAATTTCTTAAATTTTAAAATTGTTTATTTAACCCTCTTTGCCCCGCTACTAATTAAAATACAAAAATGCGATATTTGTTAAAAGAATGGTTTAAATAAAAATCGATTCCACTCACATTCAGTCAGAATGTCATTAATTTTAAGGAAAGATAGGGACAGATGCGTAGAATACGAATACGTGATTAAAAAAAATTTAAAATGCATATTTACGCTGAAAAAATATATTTTCAAATCAAAGTTCAGACCGCTTCTGACCGCTGACTCACAAGATTTAACGAGAGTGAATCTTGTCCTGCCGTAATATGCGGTCATTATCCTAGCCTTTAATGCATTTTTAATCCATAGGGAGCTACCTCGAATAAAGACAGCTTTTTAGCTAGACACATGAATGAAAAAGATATTTTTTATATTTTAAATATTAACAAGTATTATTTATTTATTAATAAAAACAAATGTATAATTATAATAATTGTTTTCGAATGTTAAGGTTATACAATTTTATTATATTATAATTTATAAACGATTTTTAGTAAATCGACTTTTTTGCGAGTACATAAATCCACTTTGGCACAAAAAAATAGATCGACTTCCAATATAAAATTTTTTAAGTTGCTGCAATTGTGATACATAATAATGTTAACGCTTGTGAACTTTCGTTGCATAGAAAATACGATTTTAACGTATTTTATTCTTTTTCACTTTTCCGGTAAACCACCATATTTCACTTGGATGTACCATACTCCACTTAAGATAACAATTCAATACTCTTAAAAGCGCTTAAAGAAGAACACCGTGAAAATAACAAATCGGCACAATCATGTCGACCCATCAACGTTGTTTTGCCCCTCTCGGCACCCTTCCGATAAACAGTGATAGTAAAATTTTTCGGGTATACGCGGCTCTTAACAGAACCGGACTCACTTTTCTCATAAGATATGTCGTAACACAATAATATTAATATTAAATAGAAACGCTAAAGTTAAGAAATGAAAATACCTTACAAATTTTAGAGTTGAGAGACAAGGTTTCAGTATCATATTGACTATGTTGAAAACGTGTTTTTATAAGTTTTCTATAGAGGGTGATTCACAAACGGTGGCCAAAAATGAAACCTCGTATTCTTTGATGAATTTTAAGGGTAGTCTTTCCTGTAAAGTTTTCATCTAAGCTTCGTGTGTTAATTTAAAAAATATATAAATGTAAATATTTTTAATTAAATTTTTTTTTACTAATTTAAAAACTAGTGAGTGAAATAATTTAGTATTTATGTAAACATTGTCCAAAATCTGAGGCCTTTTTCTAAAATTTAAATTCAGTAGCGGAGATGCACGGATCGCTGGCATATTTTTCTAAATAAAATAGTACGCCACTGCTTTACGGTAACAATCATGATATTTTCTACAAATTACTACTCTCTACTCTTATGTTTTTCAGAAAAGCCTGATTTTCGAGTAAAACTTAAAAAAACGAACTGAAAACACCGGACCTCAACCCAGTGGATTTCTTTTTGTGGGGTGCTGTTAAACGGCTGGTATACAATGATCAATTTAATACACCTGAGCAGTTAGAATAAAGAATAAATAATGCTTTTCATCAGAATCAAGCAACAATAAATTTTGAACAAATTACTTTTTCGTTACTAAAAGGATGTTGCGCCCGTGTTCGTGGAAATTAAGGTATTTTTGAGCATTTACTCAAATAAAATCATTAAAATAACGACTAATGTTATTAATTTGTTTATTCAATTAAGTAACCGAATGATTAGTGTTTGTCGTTTCATTTAAGTAAAAGTGTTTTTCAGATGGTTTTTTAAATTTTACTCGAAAATCAATTTTTTTCTTCGAAAAACATAAGAGAGTAGTAATTTGTAGAAAATTGAAAGACGAATTCGAAAATATCATGATTAGTTACCGTAAAGCAGTGGCGTACTATTTTATTTAGATGCCACTGATACCCTGTATCTCCGCCACTGGAGCATCTAAATTTTAGAAAAAGGCCTCAGATTTTGGACAATGTTTGCATAAATACATGTATCCAATTTCAAATTATTTGACATACTAGTTTTTAAATTATTAAAAAGAATTAAAAATATTTGTTTAAGTTTAACACCCTGTATCTTTATCACGAAGCGTCCTAGATAAAAATTAAAAGTCAGCCTAGAATATGAGGTTGCATTTTTGGTCACTATTTATGAATCACCCTGTATAGAAATCTGTAAGTCTGTCATTTAAGTGACGTCAGAGAAACAACAACGTGTAAATTCTTCATAATATAAATTTGCAATATTAATTCAGAAGAGATTACATTAAATGTACATATTTTTGAAATAATTTACCAGTTGTTACAATTTAAATTTTTTATATTTAAACGCGTATGTTGACTACAATTTAATGGCTTATGCAGACATATGAAATAAAAGCATGAATCATCCGGAACAAAGCCTAAAAGGACTGAATTGAAAATTAAGAAAATGAGCCAAGTACGACTCTGTCAAGAGCCGCTCCTCCCGAACTGATTATTAGTTTGGCAACCAGTAGCTTACAGGGTTTTAGCCTTCGATGTGGACAGCGATTCTCAAAATGTGAATGGATGTGTTTAAAATAAAATGTCACGGCAGATATTTGTAATTATATAAAATGATTTTTTTCTGGGCTCATATACATTGCGAATTATAACTACAATTAAAATATTGGTTTGTTCATATTTAAGGTTTATCTTCTGTGTAGTTGCAGTAACATTTTTTTTAGTTACACTCTTTTGATCCTTGCTTTTTTTGTATTTTTATTAGGTTAAGAAAACAGCGCTGTAAGTTGTATGTATGCTTCTATATTCATAAATAAGTACATAAATCCACTTTGGCATAAAGATAAATCGACTTCAATATTACAAAACCAACCGAGAAGTTAAACACCTTTCGAAACATACCTCTAAACATACGACTGTTAACCTAAGCTGTTTTATATTTTACATAGCGTCTTTTCTGTCCTAACGTACACACATCCCCTACGAATTTTGACAGTCTGAGTCCGCCGCGCCCGCCGAACCGGCGTTATGAGGTGCGCCTGGTCCTCAGGCAACACCACGCTCTCTGGAAACTGAACCCCTTGTGTTTGCACTCCTCCTCCTCCTCCTCTTCCTCCTCCCTGCGGCCCCCGTTGACGCACTGTTCGGGGGGCTTGCCCGTCTCGTCCGCGTCGTCCCTTTTCACCGTCACTATTTCGTCGAGATTCTCGCTTTTCGCTTTGGTCCCCGTCTTCTTGGTCTCCTGTGTAGGGTCGTCGTCTTTTATGGGGTGCCCTGCGACGTCCTGGGCGGGGGCGGTTTCGGCCTGGGCTTTGTTGATCTCCACCACGACCTAGAAAAGACAACATGCTGATTTGAAATTAATATTTTACAGAATTTCAGTCTTAGATTATTATTATTGGCATAAAGCCTCACTTTTCACGCGTCATCGTAGTGACGTCTCTTACAGTGATTTAGCTAGTCTTTAAATGTAAATGACAGATTAGCGAGACATCTTCTGTGTCGCGCGGTTTGGGTTTTTTAAAATAAAATTAATTTTCAAAAGTACACAAATGTATAGAGCGGAAAAGGTGAAATATACAATAGTCTCAAATTGTAAAAGTTGCAAGTTCAGCTTATATGCAGGATTGAAAACTCGAACGCACATTGTTCGTTTAAAATAAAACTTGATGCATCTTTAATTTCTGGAATATATATAACACACCGTATGCTATGTTCTGGCTAGTATGAATCCAGACCTGAATCCCATTGAACATGTCTAGTATAACGTCATTTAAATCGGTCTTATAACATGTAGGACATGGAACATCTTGAAATAGGAAACTAACTGGACCAAAACGATATTCAAACACTTTTTGATGTGAGGGTGTAATTAGAAACAGAGGTGAAAATACTCAATATTAAATTAATTGAAAATATTATTTATTACCTTATAAAAAATATTGAACTTTACGTTTTTTTTTGTTTTTGTTATTAAATATTAGAAGGATTATATCGATACAAATCATTTTTTCGTCAATTTAATATTACCTATACATAATTAGAATATAAAATATTAATAGCTTTATGACCTTCAAATGACTTCTACCCTTAGAACCCTACAATTTTTGTTTAAACATTTTTTCTTCAAAGTGCTTCCCTAAGAAGATATTGCAATGGGTTATTTAAAATGGTACACCGTGTATATTTGCGAGTCCCAATTTGAAAATTGATTGATAAAATAATCTCCTATATGATATTTTCTTGGTGACACTGTATTTTTAGACTTAATAATATGGAAGTTGCTTTTTCGATTTTGAAATGAAAATTCATAGCCTCCTTTCGGTTTTCGACGAAATGCAAATTTACAAAAGAGAAAAGGTCGACTCCCGAGAGCTTGTGGCTTCGAGTGTTATGACTAAAATGGATTTCATCATACAAAAATGACTAAAACTACGCTCATTTGAATAAACTTTATTCGTCTAGGGTTAAATTGCCCGAACTACTTTACGGACAAGCTGGTTGAAATTAATGTACGCCCCGTCTACGTTCCGGAATTGTTGGAGCACAATGTAGCCGTTTATGTAAACTTACAAGCCGTTTTAAAAACCTTTCCATAAATCTAGTTATCTCAAGAGGATCTAGCGAGTTCTGTCTTGGGCTTTGCGAGGCTAATTTATGTAATGTGAGTTTGCAGACGAACGTAGACGGTTTTTTGTATTAAAAAAAGTGGAGAAGTGACGTTTGTACTTAAAGATTCAGAAGTTGAAACTTTGCACTGTCATGTCCTTATGTTGCTAAGTTGGCAGTGCCAACAACGGCCGATAGTAACGGCGGCGAGTCGCTTAAATGTAAATCTGCAATATACAAAATACCAACGCAAATATGTCACTCTGTTGACGAAACTGGAATTATTTAATTCAGGTGGTTAGGTTAATTTATTTAGGGTCGGTTTTCATGGTCTTTTCCTTATTGTTAATTTGTCCATGAAATTATACGCGTAGAATTTTTTCGCTAATAAAAAATACACTACAAATATTGTAATGCACCATTCTCTTCTATTGGCGACGATAACACTTGTAGCTCTATAAAGTAATAAGTACGGCTCACAGAGGGAAATATTGGACAAAATTCTCGCCACTCGCCAATTTTCATCGTCTCGTCGTGATTTTTTTTTTAATAATCTCGTGGTAATCTGAATTTTCGTATTCCGGTGAGGTTTTTTCTAAAAAACCTTTTTTTAATGCTTATGGAGCGCCTCAACCTCAATGTTGAAGAAAAAATTTTTAAATACTCGATGTTCAGTTGTAGAAAAAAAAAAGTATCTGCTATTAATAAAATTGATTATTATGATCCTTGATGATATATCTGATGTTTTTTTTCAAAAACCTAACCTCAAAATTATTAATTCTAACCTAAAAGCCTTAAACGAAATTTACATTGGAAAAAAGTATTTACAGGGTGCCTAGGTTTCTGTGATTGCAGTTTGAATTTTCTTTAATGTTGGAAATTCATTTTTAAAATAAAATCCTACGGATCGTATATTTAATGTCAATTTCAATTTTCCCTTTCACCTCTTGTTTGCTTTTTTAAACTTTTACCACTTTTTTACGCACAATAAATACTTGTAACAGGTACTTTTTTATTAAAGAAGTTGATATTTCCAAGGCATCACACACTGACATATTTTTCATATTCGAATTTCTTTGTACACATTGTTTATCATACGAGTATAACGTCCCTTGATTTGTCGAATTCGGTCATTTAGGACTACCCTGATGATTAGATAAAATGAGAAAATAACACGTTTTGTTGTACGGATATGTCACGCACTGACACGATTCAGCTAGAAACTGACACATTGACGCATTTCAAGAAGTCAAACCGCGTAGGCTCGATCATCACTCTTTCGAATCGAACGTTCCAATAACTCGAGAAAATTACTATCCGCAAGATTATTGTAAAATTGTCTAAAGGAACATAATACAAGACATCTCTCATCTCGCGAGTCAAAAAATGTTATTAGCTAACGTTTCTATTTAAACAAATAAGTTAGGAAGACAGTTTTTTCACTTTGCAGGGAAAACCATCAATTTCAGCGAAAAGTGACTCACAGACAACTTGTAGGGAATAAAATTATATACAAAATGGGACTTGTTAAATTAAAATCGGTTAATAAACAAAAAAAATATTGCAAAAAACAAGAAAAGTGATGGATAGTTGAGGGTTTTGTTATACTTTAAAAGTGTGCCAAAAGTGGGCGCTGTAGGTGCAATAGTTTTCGCACAATTCAATTTGTTTATAACGGAGGCTCCAAAAGTTATGAACTTTAAGCCTCTGTACGCGGCGTTAATTTTCAACCCAACATGATTCTGAAAGCGTCATTGTAATCTTAAAGACGTAATTAAGCGACCTATTAAAAAATATCACCGTTTTACATTTACATTAACATTCTGAAATTGTGCATTAAAAAACCGTGTGTTTTTTGCTTATAAACAATTTGAATAAAATTGTTGCTCTTTATGCTACCTCACCGAAAATAGATACAATGGATAGCTGGCAAAAAATACAATTAAAAAAAAGCACTACGACCAACAGGAGCCAAGATAAGAATTTAAAAAAGTCTTGAATTTTGCGCAAAATAAAGTTTACGACGTAAACTACGATTTCCCGTGCATTGCATTGAAGAATGGGGAAAATTAACGACTCACGAGCCCTTTAAAGAGAGGCACTTGCTAAGTAAAATGTCCGGCGTGGTGGTGGGGGAAGCTCGTCCAAGTGAGTCGCGCGCGCGAGAAAAGTGAAATCCAAAGTTCAAATTGATGCGCGCTGTAAAATTTTGCAATATCTCGGCTTCTATTCATCGTAGAAACTTCTTTTTTTTTTTAAACAGGGGTAGCTCGACGAAAAAATAACAATGGGCATATTTACGAATTCATAGAATAGCCCTGAACCCCAGAAAAAATGCATATTTCATAATTTTTTAATTTACAAAAATTTCACAAAACTTGTTAAACGAAATATTAATTAAAATTTCAATTTCGGAATTATTTTACTATTATTAAATAAATAAATGAAGCTATCGTTCATTTAAAAAGTTATTTTTCATAAAAATAGAAAAAAATTAAATTAAATCTATTATTGAAAATGGTTGTGATTATTTTTTTAATTAATTTTGATTATGTTGTGAATTTTTACTTTAATTGTACATTTAAATCGTAATTAAATAACTAACAAAATATTGAAAAAATAAGTTTACTTTGGCTTAATATACAAAAAATTACCTTAAATGAACGATAGCTTAATTTATTTATTTAATAATAGCAAAATAATTCCGAAATTGAAATTTTAATTAATATTTCGTTTAACAATAATTTTTGTGACATTTTTTCAGGGGTTCAGGGCTATTCTACGAATTCGTAAATATGCCCATTGATATTTTTTCGTCGAACTACCCCTGTTTAAAAAAAATAAGGTTCTACGATGAATAGAAGCCGAGATATTGCAAAATTTACAACGCGCATCAATTTGACAGTACTTAGCGAGTACCTTCTCTTTAAAGGGCTCGTGAGTCGTTAATTTTCCACATTTTTCAATGCAATTCACGGGAAATCGTAGTTTACGTCGTAAACTTTATTTTGCGAAAAATTCAAGTCTTAATGTTTATAAACAATTGCGATACGATTAAAAAAATTCTTATCTTGGCTGCTGTTGGTCGTAGAGGGTGCTTATTTTTTTAAAAAATTTGTATTTTTTTGCTAGCTATCCATTGTATCTATTTTCGGTGAGGTTGCATAAATAGCAACAATTTTATTCAAATTGTTTATAAGCGAAAAACGCACGGTTTTTTAATGCACAATTTGAGAATGTTAATGTCAAAAATGGTGATTTTTTTTAATAAGTTGCTTATTTATGTCTTTAAGATTACAATGACGCTTTCAGAATCATGTTTGGTTGAAAATTAACGCCTGTACAGAAGCTTCATAGCTTATGGAGCCTCCGTTAAAAATAAATTGAATTGTGCGAAAAGTATTGCACCTACAGAGCCCACTTTTGGCACACTTTTAAAGTATGACAAAACCCTCACTTTTCGCTAAAATTGATGGTTTTCCCTGCAAAGTGAAAAAACTGTTTTCCTCACTTATTTCTTTAAATAGAAAAGTTATAGCTAATCAAATTTTTTGACCAGATAAGAGATGTCTTGTACCTATTATGTTCCCTTAGACAATTTTCCAATAATCTCGCGGATAGGAATTTTTTCGAGTAAAAATTTTGCTTGGCCTATAATTTGAAGTTAGAGTATAAGAGGCGAGATATTTACAATGAGAGGGATATTGGTTATTGCGGAAACTGAAGCAAATTTGTTACGAAAACAATAAATATAATTCACAATACGATAGGGAAGCAATGCTTCCTTAGCTTCCGTAGAGCCTGAATTATTTGAAAAAAAAACGACTTACAACAATTAGGAAAACTTAAAACGTAAGTTCTATGAATGACCGTATGAAATATACCCGGCAGAGTTCCTCGTTGTTTTACAAACTCCCCAATTAGCCTATCAACTTCGGCGGGCGCCCCAATTCCCACCCCGAGATTTATCCCTGACGGCGGGTCCCCCCTTCGATTACCTTTTCCTCCTTGTCTCACGTGCCGTCCTTCTCGGGCTTTATGGGCTCGGCGGAGGCGTCGGTCTTGAGCTGCAGGCGGACGTCCGGCCTCACCCTCGCTAGCGTCTCGGCGTGCTCGAACTCCGTGCAGGTGTGCATCAGCGTGAAGGGTAACTTCAGGCTGACCTCGCCGCCCATCAGGCTCACCAGCAGCTTCACCTTCACATAGTACGAGACGTAGATGGCGAACACGTTGCGGTCGTCGGGGTTGTGCACCTGGAACTCAACAGAGATAAGGGAAACTGACGTGAAATGTCATGGACGGAGTCGAAAGCTTTATTTGGAGCTTAGACGCTTTTACAGGGCTATTTTAAATATCAGAATACATAGTCTCCTGCCAGCTCTAAGATCCGTATGACTGATTTAGGGCACCGCTTAAAGAGATTAGTTTTAGTTATGTACTGAAATAAAGATGGTTTGCAAGCTATTTTCGGGACACTCTATACAGGGTGTCCCATTTTAATGTCCCACCCCAAATATCTCGAAACCCGAGCAGAATGAGGAAAAATGTTTTAGACAAAAGTTATAGGGTTCGGAGGGGGACATACGATGGTGACCTTGAAAATGACCTTGAAGTCGATTTTCAAGGTCAAACGAGGGTCAACTTCGATTTTTCAAATGAAAACCCCTATTTTTTATTGTAGGATCGTATTCTACGGAAAAAAATACAAACTTTTTGCAGGAAACTTTTTTTCGAAAATGCATTTGTTTCCGAGTTTTTCACGAATTTCGTTCGTCATGTTGTTTGAAGTGTCAGATGGATCCTATTGACCACTAGGACAGACTGGGGTATTATTTCACTAGAAACACTAGTACTCGATGGTTGTGTAACTAATCCGGAACAGCGAAATTTCAACTCTCCGAATTAACACACATAAGGATCGTCTGGACAAAGTGAAGAGGGGGCGCGTTTGTTTCTCTATTATTTTGAATAGCTGTAAACAATTTTCACCTGATAAAATCAAAGGTGTGAGAGGAACAGTTCAAGACAAGGATAAAATTGCTGCCAAAAAATCGAGGGGAACGCACGCCCCCGTTCCTCTCCTCAGAGAACTCTAGCAGTCTCATGTGTGTTGATTTGATTTGTCAAGTTTGTGTTATTTTCTGTTTTTCTATTTTCCAGCAGCAGCGCGATCGGTAGGGGCAGATGGGGTAGCGAGCCTCTCCTGCCGCAGCTCCCTGCTCATGTAATCTTCAAGCGTCTTCGAACATGCGGTAGGGGCCCGGGAGTTGCGCGATGGCACGTTCTCGCTCGGTCTCTTCGCTCTCGCAGTAATGCTGATTATTGGATCGTACCGAACAATTAAAAAATTTGATAATTTGATAAGTTCCGTTGCCCTGCTCTCGAGCATTAAAGACTCAGGCAGCGAGTAATGCATGAATCCCAGCCAGGATCCATCTGACACTTCAAACAACATGACGAACGAAATTCGTGAAAAACTCGGAAAAAAATGCATTTTCGAAAAAAAGTTTCCTGCAAAAAGTTTGTATTTTTTTCCGTAGAATACGATCCTGCAATAAAAAATAGGGGTTTTCATTTGAAAAATCGAAGTTGACCCTCGTTTGACCTTGAAAATCGACTTCAAGGTCATTTTCAAGGTCACCATCGTATGTCCCCCTCCGAACCCTATAACTTTTGTCTAAAACATTTTTCCTCATTCTGCTCGGGTTTCGAGATATTTGGGGTGGGACATTAAAATGGGACACCCTGTATAATCAGGAGGTGCATGATAAAAAAATTCAACTTTACTAACAGTTGACGTCACTGTGGAAGCCAAACTGGTCCCAGATTTCGTGTAGGAATCCTCCAGAGCTATCCAGTTTTTCGTTGAACTCTTCATGGGGATAAGGGTGTATGTCTTGTCCAGGTAACCCCCGTGGTGGATGGGACAGTCTTCTTTGGCGTTCAGCATGGCCACTACATTCTTAAATTTACCGTTGGAGAACATGCACACATCTACGTGCTGAACGACGAAGACCTAAAATATAATATTCCATGAGTGTTGCATTTTTTGGAAACCTTATACACTCGCTCACCGGCATGAAAAACAGAGCACTTGCATTTTTTTTCAAGAAAAGCTTAAATTTCAAAGAATTCAGATGGTTTATTTTTCTAATAATGCAAACATATGCAATACAAAACTTTTTAAACAATTTTCAAGAATGCTTTAAATACTATTTTATAATTTTGCATAAAATTTATGTAAGCTGAATGATGCAGTAATCTTATTCCTTAAAAGTTCGTAGTGGGCTCTGGATATGCGTGTTTTTAAATTGTTTTGTAAACGTCAAAAAGTTAAAAAAGGGTGAAAGCAGTGTTGTGAATTGTGTTGTGTTAGTTTAATCACATGAATCAGCCATTATTCATGTGATTAAACTAACACAACACAATTCACAACACTGCTTTCACCCTTTTTTAACTTTTTGACGTTCTTGAAATTCTGAAACAGCAGCTGTTATTTTTGCATTGATTCAAGATGGAAGAAGTCAGCGATTAAGCCCAACAATATCAAATATCGAATAGCACAGTCCATCGCATTTATGGACGTTTTGTGGAAACTGGATCTTACAGCAGGCGACCTGGAACTGATCCTCAACGAAGAACCAATGCCCACGATCATCGTTTTATTGTCATGCAAAGCCTTCGGAATCGGCGTGCTACAGCTGTATATATCAGAAATCGGCTTCAGTACGTTCGAAATACCAACGTAAGTGAAAGGACAGTTAGACGTAGACATGAAGAAGCGAATCTGACTAGTCGTAGACCTGCAACAGGACCGGAACTTCTTAGACGTCATCGCACTGCACGACTTCCGCTTGCTAGAAATCACCAGCTTTGGGGTGAAAACAAATGGGGTCGCGTCTTGTTCACGGGCGAGTCAAGATTTAGTTTGCAGTCTCCGGATGGTCGTGAGAGAGTATGACGAAGACCACAAGAACGTTTTGCCGAATGTACCTTCAGTCCTAGAGTCGGATATCAAGGGGGTTCAGTTATGGTCTAGGCTGGAATTTCTCTGGAAGCGCATACAGAACTCTATATCGTTCCAAGGGTCTCCCTCACAGTTGCCAGGTACATTGGTGAAATTCTCCAAGATTTTGTCGGTCCTTATGCCGGTTTCATGGGAGATGACTTCCTGCTAATGCATGATAATGCTAGACCCCCTACTGCAAGAATGACACGACAATATAGAGATAAACGTTGCTGTTATGGAGTGGCCAGTATTAAGTCCAGATGCCAACCCAATTGAGCAGTCATTTCCTGCGTCACTAACCTTAAATCAGCTTCAAGAAGCTCTTGTGGAAGAATGGGAACTTATTGCCCAAGAGGACATCAGGAACCTGATTTTTGGCATGCCAAGACGAATTGATGCAATAATGAGAAGTCGTGTAGGTATTCATTATTGAAAAAGTTATTGAACGGAAATTGTTTGAGTTTTGGTTATTTTTGCTTTAGTTTGCCACAATACTTTCTTGCTTTTTTTATTTTGTTCCCAAAACACCTGTGAATCATGAATAAATATTTTCCTATTAAAAATCATAGAAAATATTTTGTTTTGATAGTGTTTACACTAATACAGTACAAAAACATTACAATCAATTAAAAAAATAAGATTATTTAAAAAAATGTGACTGTTCCGTTTTTCGTGCAGGTGAGTGTATAACCAAATACATTTTGGCAACATTTTTATAGTTATTTCGTCGAAAAGTATTTGGAAATATTGTTAAAATTGGCGAAAATGGGAGAAAATTTACTACAAATTACGAGTAATTTGACGGTTTGACATAGGTAATTCCTGAATTATTAATAACTTCAAGACCCTAGTAATAATGAAACCTAACAACTTGCTTTCCTTTCGGAGAAAGTGAGAAAAATACAAACCAAATTACAATCGAAAAATAATAATTCTTCACTATACTTGCAGCTTCAGAAAAATATACGATTTAACTTGGATCTATGTCTTTAATAATCTTCGTCCACCCTAATATTAGGTGCCATAATTTTCAATTTTCGAATAAAAAAAATTATAATAGTTGATTGGTTTGAGTTGTAAAATTTGATCAGTTGAAATAAATAAATGTTCAAAAGTAAATACTAAATAGTTCAGTATAAAGAACTATATGAAAAAGATTAGAAGAAAAAAGCTTTTTCCTTCCGGTTAAAATATTCTTTTTGATATTGAAACAGAATTATGTCAATATTTTGTGACAGTTTGAAAAATAATATTTCGACTGTTTTTTGTTAATTTTATTTATTGTTACTTTAACTCTTATACCGGCAATACGTCAGTTAATACCTAGTTTTGTTAACGTTCCAGATGAAAAGAAATGTTCATATAAATGTTGGAGAGGTTATGCTTCTTAAATATTCAAATGTATGGGATAATGTGGAAAGCGTAGCGGTCAGAGAATGCCTTTTTTAGTTTTTTTTTATCAAACGTGAAATTCCTCAAAATTAGCAAAAATAACTACCTATATATACCTAACTTTTTTAATTGAATTTGAATTTAGAAGCGCTAATGGAGCTATTTGGTGATATACGGTTGGCAGCATTGCGTTGTGCATAACCTCTTCTGTAACCACATGTATCACGGAAACGTTTCAACTTTTGAAACCAGCTTACGGAGATGATGCTCTGGATTGTAGTCAATATTGCGAAGGGTTTTCATGATTTAAAAAAAAGTAGTCGTCAGTCAATTGAAGATGATCCTCGACTATGAAGGCCTTCGACTTCAACTGATGGCTCTGGTGTGTGCAAATCGCCGATTGACTATCAGAGACATTGCAGAAGTTAGCATCTCCATTGGGTCATGCCATGAAATTTTGACTGAAAAATTTAACATGCATCGGGTTGCAGCAAAATTTATTCCCCGTTTGATGACCGAACGACAGAAAGAAAATCGTGTGGACGTTTGTCGGCAACTTGAACAATCCAATGACGACGAAACATTCATTCAGAGGATCATAACGGGAGACGAAAGCTTGGTTTACGGCTACGACATTGAGATAAAAGTTCAATCATCACAATGGATTGGTAAAGAATCTACATGCCCCAAGAAAGTACGTCAGTTCCGATGCAATGTCAAAGTGATGCTCATTGTTTTTTTCAAGTTCTATGAAATTGTGCGTTTTACAACGGTTACCTGAAAAAGTCCGCAAAAAGAGCGTTGTGACGAGACAACTCATGGTTGCATCATGACAATGTGCCCGCACACTCAGCTTTGTCAATTCGTCAGTTTTGTTCCAGAAATCAGGTTACTGTCTTCTTTCAGCCTCCTTATTCCCCAGACCTGACTCCTTGAGATTTTTCCTTATTTCCGAAATTCATTGCTGAAAGGACGCTATTTTCAGACTATTGATTGATTAAAGCAAATTCGTCACAGACTTTAAATGACATTTCAAATGAAGCTATTCAGGACTACTTCGCGAAATGGAAACATCGCTGGGAAAAGTGTGTGAATAGGGTAGGGAAGTACTTTGAATGAGATAAGGACCAATAATGTATAAAATTAATAATAAAGTTAAAAAAGTAAAGTTCAGTTATTTTCTGAACAGACCTCGTAAGTACTATAATAAAAGTCAAAGAAAAAATATATTAATATATTAGTATTAGTAAATACGTATCTACAGCGGTATTGCATTTGCCAAATCAGAGAAACTGTTTGCAATTTGTAAAATCAGCATGTCTACAGAAAACACGCTGTATAAAATAATGATTGTTTCTCAAATTTGGAGCGATTGGTCCGTCTGTGTCTTTCATACTGTCAAATATTTTGGTTGCAATTATGACTAATTAAAAAAAAAATTTAAATAACAACCGAATGCAAAATTATTTATTCCGCTATAAGCAGAACTTTGCGGCAAATTTGTATATGTAAAAATATCTGCAGTGTTCATTATTTCTACATTTACCAATATATTATTACATCGCTAATTAATTAATATACTTCAAAATAATTTTAAATATAGTTCCTCTCAAATTTTTGTTCGTTTATTTTTTTTTTATTTCAAGCAAGTTACTTTGCAGTATTTTATGGCAGATTGTTATTAGCGCATTCGCCATATTTTTAAATTACCCCTTTTTACGCTTTGGTTTTAATGAGTCATTTCGTAAGGGGCCTAATTAAGAAAGAAGTATATTTGAGTTATGATAGCCTTTTATCCGTTATTGTACGAGTCTTGCTTTAGTTGAGAGTGGAGTTCTGCCAGTTTTTTACTTCTGCTTTGAAATTTTGTTTGTAATACTTAGTATTAAGTTCAGTGCAGTGTTGATGTCATCGATTTTGTAACTTTTAAGTTCGTCGAATTTACAATTGAAGCTATATTTGTTTATTATGATACTTTATAAAATATATTTTCCCAGTGAATTTTCCGTTTCCAATTTTTGTTCGTAACAGCGGTATTTGTTGTTTTAGCGGAAATTAATGGTAACCGGGAAAATTGTTTTTTCAGTTTTACTTTAGTTTACTTTCGCAGATTGATTTTTCCATTTGTTGCCTTTTCCCAGTAATTTTGATGGAAACCTTTCCTGATATTTAAATGTATACGTAAATTAGTTTTCTTAAAAAAATAATAATTTTATGTTCTTTTTTTTTCTAGAATTTAATGTAATAATATGGATGGATGTAAAATAACGATTTATCCTTGGCTATTATGAACACATTTATCTATATACGAACAGTTTAAGTCTATAAAATACACAAGTATTGTTTAATCAGCGATTTAAATCAATGCTTTTGTAATTGGGGTTTATTTATTTATACACAACTAATTCCTATTTGCATGAAAATAATTATTGAATCTGGTTTTTCACATATACCTAATTGATTTAGCCATATTTATGTTTAAATAAAATGGAGTCATTTATGTTTTCATCACAATAGCATTTCTTCATATATTGACATTTTTTTTGCTTATTAAAGGAATGCCATTTTTCTTTTAAATAACTTATCAAAATCGAAATATGCCTAAGCAAAGTTGG